TTGATATTATTTAAATATCTACTCGGATGAGCGTTCCTTAAAGCAGGGAGCAGAGTTAATGTTCAGAGAAGCGACACCCACTGCAAACCAGCACAGTGAATTCCACGGTCCAGCTCAACCCTCGCTTCTCTGCGCGGTTGTTTTGGCAACAGAAGCTCAGCCTGCCTCCTGCTTGGGAAGGAGGGCATGGGCTCATCCTTGCAAACTGCCTGCTATAGCAGTGCTAGTAACGCTTCCTTTGAGGAGCAATCACACACAGGGAGCTGCGTGGGCATCCACTGAAGGATGGGTCTGATGGAAGAGCTGCTGCTCATACAGTAAAATCGAAGCCTTAGCACTTTGCTCACATAGCTTATATCCCACTGATAGAGTTGTTATTATAAGATTTAAATCCATAAAAACAAAGAAAGGTCTGTTTTCCTGTTGCTTTAGTCAAACAGCATCATGCCCTTCACCTGCAGGGCCAGACAGGTTCACAAACCAGGAGCTGCTGTTCATCCAAGGCCAAGAGAGGGAGTCATCACCATTCCAGTCATTCTACTAAGGAAACCCTTGTTCCTGACATTGGAAAAGCTCTACAGAATGAGACAAACCCAACCCGACTGTCATACCCACCTAGGACCTGCTTTCTTGGTGTTAGCCGGTTTCTGTCCTTCACCACAAGAGAAGCCTCCAAGGTTCACTGCAACCAACAAGCACCACCCCCGTGCAGGTGGGGAGCTGATATGGGGGCAGCTTCATCAGGTGGGAGCCTTAGGGCTAGTCACCAACAGCCCTTAGCTGGTTTTGGTCTTGGGCTCTTCCATAACAACGCTCACCCTTACAACTCCTCCACAGAAAACCAGCACCTGAGCTCCTCTAGTCACAGCAGAAAGATCCACAGAGAGAGGAAAGCGCCAGAAGCAGGGCCAGGTTTTGCCCGGCTCTCCCACCAGGCATGAAGAGGCCTCTTAAGAACATGGTGTGGAAACAACGGCCTCCCAGGAAGCGCCACCGCGCCACAGGGAGCTCCCACGCGGGGGCACAAGGCCACTGTGTTGTCCTGGGGACGCCCCGTCCGCCCGGCCCCGGCGGCCTCACCTGCTGCCACCACAGGCCCCGGCGCCATCCCGCGTGTGCGGCGCCATGGGGGTCCCTGGGCCTGGCACCGGGGTCAGGATGGGGGGACACGGCTCCGTGCGCTCCCCGTCTCCACAACGGGGCCTATTGGGGACAGCAGAGCTGCCCGGGAGGCTTCACGCGTGTCGCTCCCACTCCGACCTCTCCCAACGCATCAGCCACCGCCTCCAGGACGCTGGCAAACAGCTGGGAATCAGGAAAATCCAGGGGATGGACAGGGCAGCAAAGGGCCTTTTCCAGCTCCAGCACTCAACAGAAAGACTGGGGCTTTCAAAGTAAAACAAATAACTCAGGAATTTTGAGCGGCTTCAATGCTGCATTCAGCAGCCAGCTCCATTTCTGCGTTTTTGGATTTGGCAAGGTTGCAACTAGCAGGGAAGGAAAAAAACAATGTGTGACTCTGAGTGGGTGTTTTCAAACAGAATCTTGTTGGGGGAAAATAAGCCTCCTTGGGCTGCTTTGTTTTGCTGCGATGCTGGAAATAAGGCTGTTGTCAGCGAGAATAAGAGCTCTTCTCTTCTCGGGCCTCACCAACAGGGAGGTGACCCAGGTCCTGCTGTGTTGAGATCGGTGCCACCATGGCTGGTAATGCTGTGTTTCCCTACCTGAAAGGGTTAAAGAAATGCATGAGTTATATATATATATATAAACATATATATATATACACACACACACACATATATATATGCATATATGAGCCTTACAGCATAGGTAGAGGTTACTGCTCTACAGACTGGAGAGTGTAGAGTGCTGTCTACAGGACAAGCAGGCAGCCGCTAAGCCGGGTGCTCGGGCTCTGCTTCCGGGCACTGCTGGACCAGAGGGATTTTCCCACCGTTTCCCACCTTTCCTTTGAAAACTAAAGCTGCGTCTCCAACATATTCACCCAGCAGGAACCCGTTGGCTTTCAGCCAAGGGTGCGTGTTGGGCTGGACAACCTGCAGCGGCAGATGGGAGCCTCGGCCGGGGAGCAGGGCCCGGCTCTCCGGGGAGCAGGATTAGCCATGGCTAATAGCTCCATAATAGCACTATAATAGCTCCATAATAGCGCTGTAATAGCTCCATAATAGCACTGCAACAGCTGGAGTTGCCCTTGTGCTCCTTCGAGCCTCCCGCTCGCAGCGCCAGGGCAGCGGGTGCGGGATGCCGGCATTCCCGGGGCTCCCGGCATTCCCGGGGCTCCCGGCCCTGGGCAGCTCCAGCCTGTCCGGAGGCGCTCCGGGCTGCGCTGCCTTTCCGTCCTACCCAGCTCCTCTCTCAGGAGAGCAGCGGATCCAGGTAACCCAGCGTGTTGCTTGGTGCCCCCAAGATGTTTTGTCTGTGCCGTGCGGACACGTCCCACAGGGGGGAGCCTCGCCACCAGCGTGCGGGGCCACCGCAGCCCTGTCCCCTGCCCGCCTGGCCGGCCACCTCTCTGCTAAATTAGCTTTAGAGAAATTAAAGCACCAAAAAGCAGTTGCATTTGTGTCTGAAGACGCTCCTAAAACTCCCCAGCCGGGTTATTTAACCTCGTTTTTGGTGCACCGAGGGTCAGGCCACTGCCATGGGCCCAGGTGGGTGCGAACAGGGAGGGCTCAGCTTGGGAATCAGTGCGGGGCAAAGCCCAGGTCCAGCTCCACCTCCGTCTCCAGCGAGCGTTCATTCATTGAAACACACGTCCTTGCTCCAGGAAGCTAAAGTTTGGAAGACTAAAAATAAATAAAAAATATACACACACACACACACACATATATTTTCCTGTGCAGAAATGAGTGCCCAGAAGGGTTTGCAGAGCTCGGCCAGGGATTGCATCTCCCTGTGCCCGACCGGAGCCACCAGCATCACGCAGGGCCAAGGGGAGACCCCCGTGGCGGGACACAGCAGCCACCCCCTCGGCTCCAGCTGGAGGGGGACCCTCTCTAATTACCCAGGTGGGTTTTTATTGTAACGCGGGCGGCAATGCAGGATTTGACGCTCGGGCTCTGAATGTGTCACCTGCCCGGGGCAATTTAGCAAAGGGGCGGCGTTTCATCCCCTTGTTTTCCACCGCCCCGGACACCGGCTCCCGGGACAAGTCCATGCGCCCGCCGCAACCCTCGGTGCCGGCGCCCCACACGTGATATGAGTGCACCGGCCTCAGCCAGCCTGGTGCACACTTGGACCTGAAGACCGCGTTTGCTCCGTACGAGTATCCGAGCGTTCGGAAGCCGCGTGGAGCGTCTGCTCCTCGTTGCAGGGGGGTTGCGTGCAGGCTCTCCTGAACTCGCTTACCTCGTGTCTGATGTTGAGGGTGTCTTGCATTGCCCTTAGGGAGCAGATTCCGACGTGCACAGGGTTTCATGCTGGTAGTGTCAACCTTGGGCAAGCACCGATGTATTCCTAGCGCTCTGCCCATCACATGCAAAGCCACATCTGCTCGCTTGCAGTCATTCTTTGCTCAGGCAAAACTGAACTGAAAGCCAGTTTCTAAGGCACGAGCTGGCCAAAGAATCCACTCCGGCTTCTCCTCCCGGCTCCGCTGCAGCCCTTCTGGCCCAGCCAGGTTTCACCCACACCAACAAACATCCTGTAGGAAGCGAAACACCGAAAGCAGCTCCAGAATAGCCCAGCCCAGGGATCGGATCCCCAGGGAGAGAGGGAGGCCGAAACCCCGAACGCGGTGCTTGCACATGGAGCGCGTGCGGCCGAAAGGCAGGACCTGCCCGGCCCTCCATCGGCAACCAGCACCGGGAAGAGCTCCCAGGAGCTGCCTCCGACAGCTCTCCTCATCCAAGGATCTCCAGGATCTGCTCAGGATGCTGAGGATGAAAACGCCGACTCGCGGGGTTTTGGTGCCAACAGGAATGCACCCGCTATGGGCCTGCTCGGGGGGTGTTTTGCATTCAGGGCTTTTGCTCCCAGCTGCTCTTTTAACGCTCTAACTGCAAGCAGCTGTTTGCAGCGTTGCTACAGCGGCTCCACGCTCCCCTTCTGCTCTGCTAAAAACCAGCCAGCGGGTTCTCCAAGCTGCCCAAGGGGGAAACCAGACAGGGATGTTTCATCTAACAAAGTCCTACGGCTGCCCCATTCGCGGCATCGCGGCCCTTAAGGGCATTGGCTGTAACTACCTCGAGGGGCTTTCCCGGGCTTGCTGGGATCAGGATGCTCCCGTTGGAGCGGATGGCATGGGAAGAAGCCGCTGGCCGTGCAGGACGGCTCCCCAGTGACACCGCTGAAGCCTCCCCGCGCTCCCGGGATGCGTGAGCTGCAACCAGGCTGGAAATGCAAGATATCCCATCGCAAGGAGGGGAGAGCAAGGGTGGAAAATAAATAAATATATAAATAAATAAACCTCTGAAATGGGGTAGACCTGGGAGGTCTCTGAACCCCTGAGGGTACTTTGCAACCCGCTGGCGGGCAGGGGCGGCTGAGCCAAGGGGCCGGGCGCTGCCAGGGCACTTTGCGCTCCGGCGGGAGCATCCCGGTGACACCGGTGCTGCCTTTTGAAGTGCGGCGCGAGGCGTTGCCTCCTCGCCCATTGGAGCAGCGGCTCTTGGGCCACATTAAGTCATTGGGCGGCAAACGAATGGTGGGGGGGGGATCTGACTATTCGCAGCTCGCCTTATAAATATCCGGGCGGCAGGTTCCCGCCGGGATCACCTTGGGCAGCGCGGGAAGCGGCCGGGCCCCCGAAATCGAAACGAATACCAGTTTTGATTATATATATATATATAAAATGTTTTTAAGAATGCTCTTTAGTCAGTGTTGGATTATGCGATCCATTTGCCTTTCTGTCTTTCAGGTCCGTGAACAATTTCCTGATGACAGGACCTAAGGTAATTCGCACGGGGCCTATTCGGCACGCAAGCAGAGCAGTCCCGCTTTGCAAACGGGAAAACACCCCTTTTCCGAGGAAACAGGTTTCCCAGAGCGTCCCGGCTCTGCATCCCGTTTGGCAACGGGGAAAAGCGATCGCTGCCCTCTGGATTCCCGCTCTCGCGGGCGGCCTTTAACTCGCGGGGTTTCCAAGGGCGCTCTTCCCCGTGCCAGGCTTACCTGACCTACTCGAGCAGCGTGGCGGCGGGCGCGCAGAGCGGCATCGAGGAGTGCAAGTTCCAGTTCGGCTGGGAGCGCTGGAACTGCCCCGAGAGCGCCCTGCAGCTCTCGACCCACAACCGGCTCCGCAGCGGTGAGTGCCCCTGCGCCCACCTCCCAGCCCCTCTCCCAAAGTCTCCAAAACGCCCCCCAAAAGTTTGTTGGCTCCAGCTGTATTAGCTGGTCACACACTGTGATGTTTTTCTGCAAATACTGTCATCTTTCTGTCCCTGTAGATGTACTAACCTTGCGCTCGGTGCTTTGCTCCGCGCTCGCTCCAGCCACTTTTTAATGCAGAACTGGGCGGAGGGGTCAATAGAGACCCCAGAGCTTGTCATAGCGGACAAGAGCAGGAAAGATGACAGGAAAAAACAGAAACTGTCCTCATAAGAAAAGTGTGGATATATTTGAACACTAATTCAACAAGCATAAACCTCTCTCCCCACCCCCAGAGCATCTGCTGGCAACAGGCTGGAGCCCCAAAAGAAGCTAAAATAAAAGTGTGGGTCTAGGCAGCCGTTAGCACAGGGTGTCCCCTGCCCGGAGCGGGATCGAACGCGATTCCCTGACAAAAGCCTGAGCAGGGCCCCCCGCGCGGGAGTGGGAGGGGAATGGGGCGCCAGGTGGAGGTGGCCACAGCCAGCGCCGGAGAGCACAGGACGGGGCATCGCTGCAAGCCCCGAGAGCCCCATCCCACGCACGGACACCTGGATAACACAGCTCCAAGGGGCTGACGCTTTCCAGGCTGAAGCCTCTGCAGGCACAAGCTCTCCACACTTTATGGAGGTTTTAATTTCTGCAGTGCTCTATCTTTTGCACAAATTGCTGCGCGTGTGTTTTTGTTTTTCTCCCTCCTTTTCCTGCATTGAACTGAAGGCCTCACAGGAGAGCTTCTCTCCCGATAAAGCAGGAGGGCCGTTGTGGCTGTTTTCACACGACGGCTCCGTTTCCCCCCTCTCCCGCTAGCTACCAGGGAGACGTCCTTCGTGCACGCCATCAGCTCGGCCGGCGTCATGTACACCCTCACCAGGAACTGCAGCCTGGGCGACTTCGAGAGCTGCGGCTGCGACGACTCCAGGAACGGCCGTGTTGGTGAGGCCGGGCGTCCACCGCGGCGATCGCGCCGGGGGGACCCAGTGCTGCGACTGCCGGGCAGAGCTGGAGCCCAAAACCGGGTCCTGCTGCTGGCGGTACGAAGAGCGCGGGGGTTTTGCAGGTGGCCGAGGCTGGGTCTGGGGAGGATGCAGCGACAACGTGGAGTTCGGCGAGAGGATCTCCAAGCTCTTTGTGGATGCTCTGGAAACGGGGCACGACACCCGCGCCCTCATTAACCTGCACAACAACGAGGTCGGGAGACTGGTGAGTGAAATATTAAGGGGCAAATATTGCCCGCGTTGAAGCTGTAACTGGACACAATCAAATAGCTTGGGGTTTCGTTCTTCATCCCTCCATGCTGATCTGTGCTGCTTGCAAGGGGGGAAAAAATAGTCAGAAATCTAACGGTCAGAAATCTAATAGTCAGAAATCTACCCCCACAAGCTGCATTTCTGCTTGCAGCTTCTGTAGCTTGGTGCAATGCAGTTACCTGCTAACCCAGGTGGTTTGTTCAGAGCGATACGGTCTATACAGCCTTGCTTTCTTGCAATAAGGATTTCCGAGCCATTTGGCAGGGGGGAAAAGCCCATACGAGCGAGACGATGGTAGCTGGCTCCCGCTTGCCCCGCTCCCCGCGGAGCCACAGCAGCTCCCGGCGTCCTGCCAAACCTCCCTGTCTGTAAAAACAAGGAGGGCATCGCTTTACATGCCTATCTCGTAGGGTGTGCCGAGGCTTAATCTCGACGAGATACCAGTGATTGGGACCTTATAAATACCAGAGAGGGTAGATAATATCTGTGAAGTGCCGGGCCCGGGGGAGATGCATAAAGCTTTAGTATAAATATCCCACTGCGCTGTTTCACACGTTTTGAATGAAATCTGCGTGAAGGATGGCGGGTTGATATGCCAATGATCCAGGTGACCTGTAGCCCAGACAGCACAAAGAGGACACGACCCGGCCTGGAGAAGCACCGGGCTGGAGACCAGAGCTGGTGCCCACCTGGTACCTGGCAAGGAGACCAGATCTTTGTCAGAACCTGATTGAGCAGCAGCTGTTTGTGTCTTGGTGTGACCTGAAGTCAGTTCCAGCATGAGCCACGTTTGCCCCAAAAACAGAAATTCCTCCTCACCGTTTCTGAGATTTAGGTGCCAATAACATCGTAACTCTTCTCCCTTTTCCCCCCACAAGGCGGTGAAGGCAACCATGAAGAGGGCCTGCAAGTGCCACGGCGTGTCGGGCAGCTGCAGCATCCAGACGTGCTGGCTCCAGCTGGCCGACTTTCGAGAGATCGGGAATTATCTGAAGATGAAGTACGACCAGGCCCACAAGCTGGAGATGGACAAGCGGCGGGTGCGGGCGGGCAACAGCGCCGAGAGCCGCGGGGCCACGGCCGAGGCCTTCAGCAACGTGCACGCCACGGAGCTCGTCTTCCTGGAGGACTCCCCCGACTACTGCACCAGGAACGCCAGCCTGGGCCACCACGGCACCGAGGGCCGCGAGTGCCTGCAGACGGGCAAGAACCTCTCGCAGTGGGAGAAAAGGAGCTGCCGGCGGCTCTGCACCGAGTGCGGCCTCAGGGTGGAGGAGAGGCGGGCCGAGATGG